GTGATGTCATTATATCGTCCGATAGTTCGTATCATTTTCATGTTTAGAAGTCATAATTAGGGTAATGTCTGTGCGAGAGATTTTCATAATAAATAATTGGCGATAAACTGATTCTCGTTACGTCCGCAGAGCCTTTTTTTTTATTTCAAGACAGACGAACCGTGCGTGCTAATTTCATTCTGAAAAATACTACGGATAGCAGAAATTTAGCTGAAAAAGACATTATCTTGTCGACTGTATCACTCACACATGGGTTAGTTTTAAAATGCGTTCTGAATAAATTTAATCCTAAAGTAACTAATTAAAAGTAATCAAGCTTACGAAATTTAAGATTGTTATCTACTGGGTGATTAGGTGCATCGAAAAGGGCATTTTTGTTTAGGGAGGGAATTATGGGGATATAAGTACAACGAAATATGATTTACCAAAAATTTATGGTAACTGAATTATTATGCTATTGTTTCGACATTACTGCCAAAACATATTTGTATTATGCATGTGATAACCTTCACAACGACTTTGAAATATGAAAAAATCGTATTTTTATTTTTGTATTTTTTTATTCATTTACTTCTATCCATCTACGAAAGACACATCAAAATCATTAACCAAAGAATACCGTTATATCAAAGCAGTCATGTCTTCTACATGTATGCTAATGATGATTAAACTAAATGAAACCTAATTAAAATTAATAAACATCCCGAGGCAGTTTTTTAATTCATAAAAATCATCTTAATTTTTGCCCTCAGAAGGAAAATCCAAAATAAATTAACTAGCCTTACCTTGTGTAAGTAACACTTGTATGATCACTTGAAGCAACATATTGCTGAAAGTCTACAGAGATAACAGGAACAGGACAGGAAAATAGTCCAATAATATTCTGCAATCAATGTATATAATGTATATGAACCACAGAGACCCCGCCCTTATATTCATCACGTGATAGAAGTAACAAAAACGACTTTAAATTTTTCAGGTATTGATTTACCTGAATATCAAACATCTGTTCACCAAATTACAGCTTTTTAGGGTGAACAGCTTTGGAATACCAGCTTTTTAAAAATTCATTAAAACAAAAAATGACAAATGTAATTACTATGATTTCACATCTTGAATTAATGCTCAATATGGCCACCATTTCAGCAAAAATATAGATATTGCCTGTCCCGTTTGTTCAGGTGACATTTTGTTCCATTTCTCTCTAATTCTGTGCAATTGTTATATCCGTCAGCGAGAAAAACAAGCTCTAAACCAGATCAGGAGTTTTGGGATCACCATTTATCTTTTGTATGAAATACTCCATATTTCCGAATTTAGAAGACAATTTTTGCATGGAAAAAAATTGTCCATATTTTGCTATCGTTCAATGAAAACATAGAAATTAATATACTTTCGGCATTATATTGTTTAGCTAGGAGTTTTAAATAGGCTGGTATTTAAAAATTGTTTAACCAAGAAAGCTGTTATTTGGTGGAAAGACGTCTAATATGCATATAAATATGAGGTTTAAATATTATGATCACAGCTTTGATACTTTTTGAAAAATCATAAAATGAAAAGTGTTATCGTTTTTCTGGGCCAACCAAGAAACCCGAAGAAGTATTGTGCCACTTAAACAAGTGTAAGCTCACATGTGATTATAAAACCGTGAATAAAAAAGAAACTAAAAATGGAATTTGGATCTTATTTTAATTAGATTTTAAAAGTACCAATTCCTTTAAATTCAAATTGAAAATACAAGTTCTGTGGGGCTCCTTTAGATCATATGTTAAGTAAGGATTATATAGGATTAGCCTGGATTTAAATAAATTTTTATACGCCCACATTATAATGTCGGTCCGTCGGTCCGACCGTCCGCAATTGGCTTGTGAACGAGACAACAGTTTTATCTGATTTGATGAAATTTGGTATGATCATTTATATTCATGAGATCTTTGACAAGTTCGAATTTGACGATCTTTCGATGAACGGTTTTTGAGTTATTGCCCTTGACTTATGAAAAACGCGTCAAAATTTGGTTGTGAACACAATAGAGACTACATTATTCATCCAATTTAAATGAAATTTGGTTTGAATATTCATAATGATGAGATCTTGGACAAATTCGAATTTGATGATCTTTCGATGAACGGTTTTTGAGTTATTGCTCTTGACTTATGAAAGACGTGTCAAAATTTGCCTGTGAACACAATAGAGAATACAGTTTTCATCCAATTTAAATGAAATTTGATGTGAATATTTATATGATCAGATCCTGGACAAATCTGAAGTTGGTTTTTCGTATGATTTAACACAGATAGGTGGCCGCCCTTGATATACTGAAAATGTATCAGGAAAGTGGGTGTATCTCGCTAGGCAACCACTTGTTTTTATTCATGTACAGGAGGGGTCGTGAGAATGGAATGGAGAAATTAAGTAGTGGCAAGGTTAATAGTCAAAATATAATATTAAGCTTATAATGACCTAACCCACCCTAATAGTTTTGATAATTCAATATTAACGCAACTGAAATCTATGTTCGTTTATCAATGGATAGGTGAAAAACAAAGTCTGTAAAAAAAAATTTTGAAATCGTTCTGTAAGAAAATATGTCGATTGGTCTCAATTTGGAAACGGTCCACCATGAAAAGTTTCTCTAGCTCTCGGCATACAGATTCAGCTTTACGGAAACTGCCACTGATTGTCGAATGTAGTTGTAGGTCTATATTGTTGTTTTTCTCAAAGGAAAGTTCGTGTATAGTTTTCGTTCGATAACATCTCAAAAGGCTACGCATGATTTCATTTTTTCTTATCTTTTTAATTGAGTTATTAGTAGTATATGTCTTTTCGGATATGACGCATCATATCCGAAAAGACACAACTGTTAAAAATGTATTATAACAGACTCCTCCAAACTGTATTATAACAGACTCCATATAAATTACCCAGACAAGAATCACTAAAAAATAATACAGTATAAAATAACCGCATTAAAAATGTCTTTAATTTTAAAACACGAACAAAAAAAATTCGAAGGAGACGGTTTCTTCTCTGCGCTAACATCTCTCATCCCCAAAGTGGCCAATTTTGTCTCAAACAACAAATCCCTCATTTCCTCAGAAGCGCAAGCTCTTGGATCTGTGGCAAAAGCAGGAGTAAATATAAGCGATGCAGTGAAAAAATCTGACGAACTTAAAGAACTGCAGTTAATAAGAGAACTAAGAAACAAGAGACTAGAACGACAAGCCCTAGAAAAACAAGGAAAAGGGTTTAAAATCATTGGATAAAAATGGCAAGCAAAAATTACAGATTGGATCCAATCTTTCAATTGTATGATCCGATTCAATATTCGTTCAACAAGAAGAAAGAGGATTACGTGATCATCTCACCATCGGTAGGGACAAAGACCCAAATAAACGACGGAGGAAGAGTTACCTTTGAAATTAATTCGTTGTCCAATTGGTTGCTGCTTTCCGATGCCCATTTCCGATGCGATTTCAAAATCAAAGACGCCGCTCAGAATCGAATTCCACAAACCAACACGACTTTAGAAAACAACTTCTTTCTGTCTTTATTCAGCGAAATGGTTTTGGAAGCTGGTTCAAATCCGATAGAGACCATAAAACACCCCGGCGAGTTTGACCCAATGTTGAAAACGGTTCTGTATCCCAAAAACTACGATTCAGTTTCGGGATGGATTCCTGATGTCGGTGACGGAGAAGTTTTAAAAGAACCGGTCAGAACTGTAGCAAATGACGCAGACCTTGCGAGGATAAGAGTAGTAGCTAGAAACACACTGGAAAGAGTGACTCGCGGAGTAAATCACGGATTTGAAAAACGAGCGCTTCAATACAACAATGTCGTCGAGAACAACAGATGGGGTAATTACGTAAATTGGAAGTTGTATCCTTTATTTGGTCTCTTGGAACACAGAAAGGTTTCCATAGGTTTACCGTATAAAATTCATTTGCAAAGAGAAATCAACGACAACAAGATATTCTTTGGTGAAAACAACTCTGACGCTAAATTCCATAGAAGTGGAAACGAGAATATTCAATTCTTTAACCAAAGACATCGAAATTGCTTTTCTTCGTCGTAACACGGTAGGTAGCATGACTTTAACGGGAGAATCCACCACGTGGCCAATCACCAACACCGTCAAACCAGCGAGATATCTAATGGTCGGTTTCAAAAACTTGCCAGACTCTCAGACAAACAACAACAACATTTTCAGAGTGGCACTGAACCATACTCAAGATCCCATCATTCGCAAAGTTCAAGTCAGATTGAACAACGATAATTATCCCAATCAACCTTTGACAATTGATCCTTCCAAAAAAGATTACAACGAATTGTACAGAAACTATAAAAACATGTGCGAATTGTTTGGAAATACGCCTCAGTTTGAATACACAGATTTTTCACTCAATCATCCAATCTTTTGTTTCGATCTGTCAGCTCATCAAGAAAATCTTTTCAAAACAGGGGTAAACATAAATATTCACATCGATAAAACACAAGGAGATGTGACCGGCTACTGTTTATTGCTGGAAGAAGCAAAACATTTGATTAAAATATCAGATAGAAGAATGATAAGAATTGAATAAAAAAAACACCCTTTAAAATGAAACCAGAAACTTTAGTTATGAAAGGGGATCCTCAGAGTCGACTG